ATCTCGGCTCACGGCAACCTCCACCTCCTGGGTTCAGGCAATTCTCCTGCCTCAGCCTCCTGAGTAGCTGGGATTACAGGCACACACCACCATGCCCAGCTAATTTTTTGTAGTTTTTAGTAGAGACGGGGTTTCACCAAGTTGACCAGGATGGTCTCGATCTCTTGACCTCGTGATCCACCGGCCTCGGCCTCCCAAAGTGCTGGGATTACAGGCGTGAGCCACCGCGCCTGGCCACACCCAGCATGTTTTTTAAAAACAATCTTTTACTTCATTTAAAAAAACACTTTATAAATTAAAAAAAGTTCCAAGGTAATCTCTACCTTAAGACAAAAACAAAACATTCTTAGCTCACAGACCTTACAAACTAGCTAAATTAACCCTGATTTTAAAATATGTAACAAAAGCTAATAACAAGCATATATACACGTAAACTTAACATATTTGAACATAACCCAGAATTCTGGAAACCACAGGGACTTGTACCTCTAAGATGGCCTTGCCTGGCAGAGATCTTCTGTGAAACCAAAGGTACTGGGCCAGGACCACAGCACAGGGCCAAACATACATTCCATACTGGAGATGCAGGATCTGAAAAGAATTTTTTTTGTGTGTCATAAATAATTTATCTGCTGGAAGTTGGAATCATTTCTACAGCAATTTCTGTCAGGCATTAGCATCCATTACAAAAATAGCAGCCGTGCTCACCAGTCCCCGGCCTTTGGGGATGTAAAACCACAATGCAACGTGATAAGCACTCTTGATGGCACTCTTCATTCAACAAGCACTTCTAGCGTCTGAGTATGAGGGACCATTCTTAGACTGGGGATGTAGCTCTCCCTGATCACATATTATACTGTAGAGACAGGCAACGAGTAAGCAAACAGGATCTTTATAGTCAGGGACAACGCTACAAAGCTAAACAGGGTGACGTTAGAGCATAACAAGCAATGGGGGGTGAGCACAGGTGGCTGCTCTTGATTCAGGCAAAGGCCCTGAATGAATAAATGAAAGGCCTCAGTGGCTAATCAAACTGGGGAGTGGGGAAGGGGGTAGATAGGAATGGAAGCTGGAGGCATGGTTGTGCAGTGCATGCAAGTGGAGGTCAGAAGTAAGACCGGGACCAGACCCTTGGGGTCCTGTCAGCCCCAGAAGTTTAGATTGTATTCTAAGTGCAATGTGAAGATACTGGAGGGGTTTAGGCACAAACATAACTTGGTGTGTTAACAGGAAGTAGTGGGGTCCTAGGAAGACACCCTAGAAGTATGAGTCCAGCTGAATCCTGAGTTAGGCAGGCAGGCAGCACACAAGCCTTTGGAAAGGACTAGAATCATAAGAGCATGGTATTCAGCGAGAAAATCAGCTGGCCTGGGTCCAATCTCTAGATTTGTAATTTATTAGCTATGTGACCTCAAGACAAGTTACTTAGCATATCAGTGCTTCCATTTCCTCAGCTGCAAAATACTGTCTTAATAGGGTTTTCAGGAAAATTCAATGAAAACTTAGGACAGTGCCAGACACAAAGCAAGCACTCAAAGGTAGCAATTAAACTGCAAAACACGTCTTTCTGTCCTCTGGAGCAAAGGGTGTCCTGGTGGGGTGTTAGAAAAAGAAGCTGAACAGGTGAAAGTATCAAAGGTGAAGGAACTGAGATCCAAACGTAATCATTCAATTCATTAAAAACATACATGGCTAACATATGCTAGGCACTGTTCTAAGTGTAGGGGTACAGGATGAGCAGGTAAAATTGCCTTGACCAGAGGACAGAGTTGTGCAGATTTGGGTGTAAAGAAAAGAGGCTTCTAGGCTGGGTGCGGTGGCTCACACCTGTAATCCCAGCACTTCGGGAGGCTGAGGCGGGCGGATCACCTGAGGCCAGGAGTTCGAGACCAGCCTGGCCAACAAGGTGAGATCCTGACTCTACTAAAAATACAAAATATTAGCCAGCGACTCAGGAGGCGGAGGCGGAAGTAGCAGTGAGCCGAGATTATGCCACTGCACTCTAACCTGGGCTGGAGACTTTGCTTCAAAAAAAAAAAAAAAAAAAAAAAAAAAAAAAAAAAAAAACCAGAGGCTTCTATTCTCCTCTTTGGGGATATAAAAGGCAAATCATCACCCCCAACATTTAGGAAGAAACGCAAGTGTATTTAAACATGAAGCCAAATTGGGTGTGGTCTCAGCTACTCAAAAGGCTGAGAGGATCACTTATGCCCCGGAGGTTGGGGTTGCAGGGAGCCCACCACTGCACTCCAGCCAGGGCAATAGAGCAAGCCTCTGTGTCAAAAAAATTAAAAAAAAAAAGTGAAGCTATTTGGAGTCTGTATCAGAAATAGCACCCACTCCACTTTTTTTTTTTTTGACATGATCTTGCGTTGCTCATGCCTGAGTGCAGTGGCCGGATCACAGCTCACAGCAGTCTCCACCACTCCGGCTTAAGCAATTCTCCCACCCCAGCCTCCCCAGTAGCTGGGACTACAGGCACACACCACGATGCCTAATTTTT